CATCGGCGAAACAGGAAGACGACTGGGTGACCGATTCCGAGAACACCTTCGCGCGACTCATCCAAACCAGTCGCTAGACACTTTAATCTTCCTTATCATTCTAAAAGCATATGGCAGTTTGCGGCCTTTCCTTACATCTAGGCAGTTCGGAAAGCCGTAAAACACTAGAACAAAAATTTATATTCCAAATCGGCACCCTTACTCCCCACGGAATCAACGAGCGCTTTTCATTCAACTAATTTATTCCTGTTTTCTCGTCACCATATTCCCACCAATGGCGTTTAAACGCAGTGACGTGAGTTGTGCATTATATTCGATTACTGGTTGATGTTGAATTTGCATTGACTATCCGAAAAGTCGAGAGCAATCAATTTACGTTGTCTAACTTCAGCGTTCAAGCTTTACAAACAGATCCGCTGCTATTCATTCGGAACCTTTAATCATCACAGTTAAAAATGAAAGAAACAACGGGAAACGAATAATGAAATGGAAAATCAACGAGCGCTTTTCATTCAACTAATTTATTCCTGTTTTCTCGTCACCATATTCCCACCAATGGCGTAGCTCCACTTTCTACATAGAAATCCACACACAACCCACAATTCCCCTAATCGCTCTGACGAAGGGCTAACGCTCGAAACGTCAGCTTTTTTACCCTTTACGGTGGCTAATTTACGTTTTCAACCCAGTTGTTAACACTAAATTACCTGGTTGCAACATATGTTGTGTTCCTCTGTACTGTTCACTGACCAATTACGGATGCAAGCACTCCACTGACTGTGACACCTTATTGATGACAGATATCGCCCATTAAATTGCGGAGGATGAAGTTTTTTTTCTCTCTTTGTAAATTTCTCTTAATAAAAATGGTGATCTTTATGACCGTTATTACTGAAAAGTAATATGTGACAGCAGTAGGTGCATGTTTCGACAGGCACCTGCAGTTGTCACTTAAAAGTGTTCATTTTCCCTGAGCGGTGCTTGTATAAATCCACGCGTTCTGATAGGTGAGCCATTGTTAAATAGATGTAGAGCTCTCACCGTCGTTGGTTTATCCCGCAAGCAGGCCTTTGTGTTTGGATTTCGCCTCAAGGCACAGACAATAGTGCCGCTTATGGAAAAAAGTTATTAAAAACCGTGCTGATCTCAGTTAGATATAGAACTCGGTCTTTGCCATTTAAACTTTTCAAATCTTTGTTAAAAAAAAAAAACAAAACAAAACCTGCACTTCACTGAGCAACGGTTCAATTTGTATAGGTAATCACACGATTTCGAGTTCAATTTGGAATAAATAAGCAGGAGTAATTTTTTTTAAAGACTAACAAAATTGTGGTCTTTCAAAAAAAATTAACAAGTGCTTGTTTATTCCAAATTGCACGAGAAAAATCATGTGATTACGTGTTAATAATATACATGGAAAAATACGAGATGGCTTATCATAGCGGAGCTCGCAGAGCGTAGCCCCATAATTATACAAAATGGTAGTAGTAACCCATCAAGCCGAAAAAATTTGGATTTACGACCGTGCGACCGTACGACCCACCGTACAAGGTGCTACTTTTAACATGCGTGGTCAACTGTACCGCGGGCACGCCAACGCCTCAGCTTTGTCCAGTAGTCCAGTGGTCAGTGCACTGGGCTCCGAGTCCGACGACCCGTTCATGTATATTATTAATCATAAAAATTGAAGAAACTCTCCATTTCAGTTCCAATATTGGACTTTCTCATTAAAAAAATAGGTTCGATGACCTAGCTGGAATAAAAGAAAAAAAACTTGACATTTTTATAGCAGCCAAGGCAACCTTTCCATTATATGGTAACCTGTATAACCCGCGTTCTGAACGAGTGGGTATTCATTTAACCCTTTAACTCCTAACTCCTAAGATCTGATTGCTAATTCTCCCTTCTAACTACTATACATTTCCTTGTAAATTAGTTACAAGAATTTGCTGTTAGATCAAGATAGCAACCTCTGCCTGATAAGTTTCAATATTCTCACTACATTTCTGCTGGATAATGTCTGAATATTGGGTTAAGCTAAGTTTCCCGATCTCTTGAATTTAAACATTCTTCGATTATGCAAAGTGAAGCATGGTGAGCCTGGAAAGGTCGGTTTATGATGGTCAACACCCTTCTTGTGTCTAAAATCTTTGTAACATATATCTATGCTCAAGAGAATATAAAGTCTTCTATATTCTCTTGTTGTGCATTACAATCTTTATATGTAACTCTCCATTTTTACAATTCTATTCTGCTCCAGTTATTTGAGTATAGAGTACTCTTAATAAGTGAAACAATACAGATTTAGTATTTTTATTTCTATTTTAATATATAATTCTGTTGTCATATTTACCGTCGACTAAAGGACCCACAAAGACTGCAGAAACAAAGTCGGGGCGAGGTGGGAGGCAGTATTATGCGGAAAAAGAAATTTATTGCAATAAGAACATCGCTGCTCCACTCCTGGAACATCTGTTAAATGGGATCCCCTAGTCTGACAGAAATTAATTCATGAGGAGCCCATGACTCCTCCACATAGGATACATAGATATGCACCGCCTAAGATAATGAGTTCTAGGGTCGGTGGGAGGGGAAGCTGAAAATAGGCTCAATATTTGTTGCGTATGGGCCGCTGACCTATCAGAACCCC